TGAATCTTGCTAGTAACTGTATCAATGTGTTCAGGATGTTTCTGAATTATATGATTATCCAGATTTTTTTTATCATAATATACCTTACCGCAATGTACACATTTGCTGGATTTATAACAACTAGCTGTTTCTGGATGTTTCAATAAATGTCTATCAAAATGGATCTTACTGCATGCCTGAAAACTGCAATGTACACATTTATATATCTTGCCGGTGATGGAATCTACAAAATTGGGGTGTTCCCTTAGCACATGTCCATCTAACCCCGTTGCGCTTCTAAATGTCCTGTTGCAGTGCAAGCATCTACTCAGTTTGACGTGGATAACTGAGTCAGCGTGTATCAAAAGATGACGTTTGAACGATCCATAGTTAAAAGTTTTAAAGGTACATACAGAACATTGAAGAAGTTTGCGGGTGATCGAATCAGTGAACTGTGGATGGTACCTGAAAGTGTGTGCATCTAGCGCTTTTTTGCATGTGGACACTTTTTCACAATGACCACACTCATACCTACGATCTCTCTTTTTCTTTTTATGTACAACTTTTTTTTTAGGCTGTTGCAACATATCGTCACTGTTGCTGCAAAACGATGAGTCGCTGAAAGATTCTCGATTTTCTTTTCCTCTAACACTAAAAAAAAGTAACATGTTTAAAATCGTATTGTAATTAATCAAGCAGCTTCCGAGTCATTTGAGAACAAATAACGTTTTACAAAGTATTTTTGAAATGAAGGTAGGTAAGGATTTGGGTTGGTATTTGAAATATATTCAGTTATAAGACCTCTCGACAAATGAAAGATTTATTTTGAAGTTTCAGTCACCACATCAAAAAGGGCGGTTCGTTAGGTCATCTAGAGAAAAGGAGTTTCCATTTTTGTGTTTCTGGAGTTTATAAAATATAAATATCTGGACATCAGGACCATACTGTATTAAGTCACTTCCATATAACTTTTCAGGAGAACACTTTGAAGGTTTTGATTACCTATATTATTTTCTTAGAACTGCACATAGTTGAATTAATCACTGTATATCGTAAAATGATAACTGCTGTTGAATTTGGTATTAAATGGAGTTTATTTTCTAGTCATCTGTTAAATTAAAACAATATTTTTTCATTTTTATGTGACTTAATACAGTCTGGTTCTGAACTAGGACTTAATATTTGGTGACATAATATCAAATTATGTGACATAATACTCTATGGTTCTGGACTTTTGTTGGAGAATTTACATGTTGGGAAATATAAATAAAAAACATTTGAGAAAAATAAGGTTTTTTTCATTCAAATAAAGAAAATATTGCACAAAAAATCGTCTTTGTATATTTCATCTGAGTTCCATGGGTAGCCTTTAGGTTTCCTCGTCTGCTTCGGCTGATCCATGGGATAGGTTGTTGAAAAAGTTGTGGAATCGTTTGGGAACCCATTTCAGTGTCTTTTGAAGATCCAAGAACTTTTTTGTCGTAATGGGCCTCATAGATTCTCTAATAGCTTCAGGCATATAAAGTTGAGATCCGCTTTTCTGTACTCGCCTTGTCTTTCTTGGTTCAGATTTGTTGAAATCTACTTGCTTGAATTCTGTATCATTAAAAGCGGTTTTAAAGTATAATATTCCCATTGAGTCAGCAAAAAACTTCATATGAACTACTTTTGAAATCAAGAAGGGGTGTCCAGTATTAGTTTTTTTCTTCGGTTGCATAGGAGATCTGGCATTACTTTGGAGATCGTTGAAATTCTTGAAATCAAGTAGTTCCATTTCAGACACATCTATTTTTGGGCCACAGAGTCGTATGAGCTGTTGCCAGTCCCATGAAGTTATAATGGAAAACTTCGGTGAGGTTTTCATGACTCTTCACCTGCAGCATCAGAAAATAACACATTACCATTTGTAAATTTCGATTTTGTGACGGACAATTGTCGCTCCATACCACTACATCGTCAAAGCTATCGGGCAGATTTGATACATGCTTCATTAAGCAAGAAGCCATCTCATTGCCACCTCGTCCAGCTATGGATTCGTCCCATATGAAGCAAGAAGCAGACTTCTGTGAGCTATCGTACACAGTATATTTGAATGTCCAGAGCTTCAGTAAATAAAAGCTTTGCGAATTTTTGAGCAAAGGCGTAGGTAAACATTTTTGTAAATCAACCATCAGAACCCTTATGTTGGTTTCAGAACATGATTCCTTATAATAATAATAATAATAGACGTCTTTATTTATCCACAATTACATTGTAGTATAGACAAATGTCAGACTTATATGGCGGAGTTTAGCCTGCTGCTACTCTTACACTTAACCATATAGTCTCTAGCAGATGTTCAAAAGAATACACTATCCACAAACAGATTTGGTTCATTACATCCAAAGTAAAATTTAAAAAGGCATACTTTCCAAAAACAAATGCACCAAAAAATTATTAATCTGAATTAAATATGGAATAAAAAAGAAATGAATGATTACGTAAATTATATGTTTGGAGGGTTGAGTAATAATGTTTTAACTTTTTGTCGAAAGACAGGTAATGAAAATTCTTTATATACTTTAGGAAGGTCATTATAAATAATAGCAACATTGTAAGAAAAACTGCGTTTAAAAAGTGTAGACGTATGCAGGGGTATTCTAATATTATTTTCTCTGAGAGTTCTACAGTGAACATCATTATTAAATGAAATTTTTTCCTTCAAGTAATAAGGTTAAGACGTGAGCAGCAATTTGTGAACAAAAACTGAATAGTGATACTTGACCATGTCATTAATTTTTAACCAGTTTAGAACGGGATATTTCACCGATACATGATCAAATTTACGTAAGCCAAAAATGAATCGTATACAATTGTTTTGAATAACTTGAATAACGTTTTTAGTGAAATTGTCTAAACAACAATAATTTAGTATAGATATGACCAATGCTTCACATAGTTTTTTACGCATCTTAAAATTTAGTAAATACCTGTTTGCTATAAGAGTGCGCAGCCGTAGGTAGGTTTTTTGAGATAGACTTTTAACATGTTCAATAAACCTTAATTTTGTATCAAAAACAACACCAAGAATTTTTGCAGAATCAGAAAATTGCAAGATTTGGTTATTTATCTGAATGTTCAAGAGCTGTGTTACATTGTATGTTTTTCTTTGTGCGCAAAATAATAACATTTTAGATTTTTGTGGATTAATAAGTAGATTGTGATCTAAAGAGTATTTAATTAATTTATTAACATCGTTTTGTAAAATTTGAGTAGTATGGGACCTCGGTTGGCCGCGCGGGTCAGAGTGTCGTGCTACTGATCAGCCGGCCGGCCGGGCCGCGAGTTCGAATCTCGCCTTCGCCATGGATGTTGTGTGTTTGTTTTAGGCAGCAGCGGTGGCCGCAGTAGTAGACTCTTCGGTCTCCTGATCAGTCGCCGTGCGCTGTGCGGGTTCGAGTCCCGTCCCAGGATAAATTTTTCTCTTGGCTATGGATGTTGTGATTGTCCGTAGGTGGTAGATGGTCTCTGACTGTCGAACGCGGAGGTACCACCCGGCGGTTCTCGTAGGCGGAGCCAGAATGTGTACCATTCTCCAATTTCGAATTATTTAAAGTATGTCGATTAGGATTTTATTAAACCAAAATTGTGATTCTAATCGTTCCTACTATTTCCACTCCTATCCCTATTTTGTACGACTTTCTGATTCACTCCAGAGATTAGTTGGAAGCTATAGTTGAAATAAATCCTGATCCATAAAAATGATTGATAACTTACTTGCGCTTGCGTGAGAAAGTAAAGTTATGTTGGCGGAATCACGATTGCAGTCAGCTTCGTCGCTTTTGCAAGCCATCTGTACCATTCTCTTAGCTCGACCTGACATTATAGTTGATCTATTTTGATGATATTCTTTCTAAAGTATAATTATTATTTATTGCAATCAAGTAGCGTTGTATACTCAAACCTCTGTAATCAACAATAGTCAACAAGTAACTAAAAGTATTAAGTCCTATACACGCTTAACCTTGCATATGGACTTAATACCTAAACTCCGGACTTAATACTAAAGGAAGTTCTATTTCCTCGGGCAAAACAGTATCAAGGGACTTTGAAACAGTTTGCTTCGTCACCAAATTGGACATAGTACATTTTATACTGGCTTATTTTATACACGGTACCAGATAGGACTTAATACTCAACGCCAATGGAAAGAGCGGGAAAAAATAGCATGGTATCATTCAAAACCTGAAAATGTGAGAAAACTGGACTTAATACCGTATGGCTCTGAGGTCCAGATATGCGATTAGGTTGGAATTTGGTGTAATTATTATTTGAAGTAATGATGACATAATTATTTTATGTTATCCATGGATAGTTTTTAGAATGAGTTTTGATGATTTTTATTTTTTCCTCAAAAAAAAAAAAAAAGGCAAGATATGAAGAAAACACAAGAGAACAAAAAATTGTAGTTTTAGTTATTAACTTTATTTCTTCACACAACCTAACGAATCGCCCTCTGAAGTTTCGAACCGTAGTTAGGAAACACCCTGTATAGTGCATTGCAACAACAGCCTAAACGGTCTTGTATACAGGGTGTCCCGAAAGAATGGGCACACCCAAATATCTCGGAAACTAAGGGTGATAGAAAAAACTTTGGACGAAAAAGTTTTAGGAAATCAAATGTTACTTGGTGACCTTGGATTTGACATTGACATAGATCCTGAAGGTCAACGTCAGTAAAGAGTAATTTCAACATATATGATTTCATTTGGCCATACAAACATGGATTTCTACCAGTATGACAAAACCACAGGATAAGTTTCAGGTGTTACATATATTCGGTTATATCCTAAGTACTCGAATTTTGCAAAGCTATTCAATTTATACTATATGTACCACTGTTTGTTCTACTATTCAGTCTAAAATAAAAAAATTCCATGCAAGATTCAACGTAAAATATCAGATGTAAGCGGACAATCTAAATTCTAATGTATACACTACCGGTAAAAAAATACACAAATTGAAAGTATATTTTTATTTTACCTTATCTTACAAACGACATGCCCTAAACACTACAAAAGTAGAAGTACTAACATAACTAAAATTGCACGTAAATCGAATAAAGAAGGATTTGAGTAGCATACCTAGCGACTAAGTATTATAATATGTAATATACAATCATGATAAGATATTAAATACTTAAAACAAAATAAAATAAGGTTAAGAAAAAACATGCATAATTACGATGATGATAATAATTAATAAGCGCTTATAACAAATATTCAAACTTAAGCTTAGTTGTCAGGGCTAGGCTATTTTGTTAATCAACGAATGAATCATTATCACATACAGAGAAATCCATATATCACTGACGTCGTGATGTGTACGAGAGAGGAGCGGGAGTCGTTTGCAACACGTGTATGTTAGAAAGAGATAGAACCACCACGTTGCCTAGCAACATGCACTCTATGACTGATTGCGCCACTGTGGAACCGGGAAAGTGCGTATCAATCAGAAGCCTCAGAGTACCTTTGCACAGGATTCTGTGTATTCTAGCTGTAGCAGGAAGGTCATTAATGGTCTGACAGAAGTTACCCAAGGGTTCTATGTAAAGCCTTCTTGTAGTCTTGCCATTGGGATAGCCACCTTGCACAGTTTCAAAGCGCTCCTTGATTTAGCTGCGCGATTTCCCTTGCAAAAGGCTAAGTACTTATCGGACCGCCCTGGTACATTAAACCAATGGATTTATTGTCACTGTAAAACCGGATCTAAGTTGACCAGTCTGTTCGAAAAAATCCCAACTAACAATTATCACTCCTATTAGAGTTGCAAGAATGATTATACAGTATTCCTTACACAGCATTGTATACTGTAAGACATTGGCAAAACCCTCTTAGAACAGCTATACAAGCGGAGTGGGCACACCTAATAGGACACTTCAGTCATTTAAGAGGTTGTATAAGGGCTGTAGGTAACAGTTATACAACAAAAGTGCAAGCCTCTTGCAGCCGCTATAGAACATTTGGGTCAGTGCAAGATTCAGTCCTTGTCAACTATACAACTATTCTGTTACATGATTCTACTTCATTGCTACCAAACTATTTCTTATGTATTGTATAGACGAAGTGAAGAATATATAACAAACATATTACAGTCATCTTGTTTACTTACATATCGGCCATTGTGAATTTCATACACAGGTATATGATAAACTTCTACACTGTGATGTAGGGCTATTGAATTGCTTGCGCAGCAAATTTTATTGTGATTATCGTGCAAAGCAGTTACACAATTTCTACGGGCTTCGTGTTTGACTCATATTTCAATAATGATCAAAAGTATGTCTAGATTTTTAAGATGGAAAACTGAACTTATCTGCGTTAAATCTTACACAAATCCTATATTTAGTCATAATTACACTAATGTTTATCACTTTATATTTGTAATTTCGAACTGAAACATCATTATTTAATACTAAATAGAGGAACAAATGTTTGCCCAATATGGCGGGTGGTTGTGTATAATCATGGCATCGTCCATGTTGTCTTTGGTTTATTAGAATATTTTGGTGTTACCTGCAGGTGTTGTACAATAATTTGACAAATGTCTGAAATGAAATACCGACAGTCGAATGATTTACCCAGAATTTGTACCAGATCTATATCTTCTGTTTGAACAGTTGATAAAACCTTTTGAATCAATATGCACGCGTTGTTTGTCTTAAAACATTGGTTATGGCGTTTTAACAAAAATTTGACAGCAGAAAGTTAGGTTATGGTGAAGTTGTATACCAACAAATGTATGCCGAGCACAGCAATTTTGTACTACAAAAGTTGTAATATTGTTGCATATGTACAGCCTTTAACAGTTACTAAACAACAGTTGTATAAGTGCTTCCGTTGGGAGCAATTTGTTGGCTAAAGTAGTAAATTTGCACAGCAAAACAACAAGGCTCGGGTTTGTTTTATAAACGTTACCATGGATGCCACAACACAACAATTTTGACTAACGTGCAAATATGCCGTATAAAATAGTTGTATAAACGTTTATGCAACAGTTAAAAGTTTGTCCTATAAGTTGTTGTATAACTATACTATAAGAATATTTTAAACACCTCATTTTAGAGCAAATATGTTGCAGAAAGCAAATTTGCATTCCGCACAACATTTGGCCAGCATTTTGGTGTTCAGGCAACAACAACAGAGAGCTTTTATGGCTGAACGGTTCTTTTAGCAAAAGCTTATAGCACTACTTTGCTAGTTGGGATACATTGGCAGCTGGAGTACAACATAAAATTCACTTTACATTTTCTTTGGAATGTGTAAGTAAATGTTTAGTAAAATTACCCTTCCGGGTGGTTTTGTAGTCACATATTGTACATTCACGAATTAAGCTAGTCACGGTTGAAGCACTATGAGGATGACTCTTTATTATGTGGTCATCTAAAGCCGGTTTCGCCGTGAACACCGCTTTGCAATGTAAGCACGTTTTAAATTTACTTATCGGAACAATCTCAGGATGATTAGAGATAATGTGCGCGTGTATCGCACATGATAAGCTAGTTTTGTATTCACATTTTTCGCATTTATGTATTTTACCAGTAATCGTGTCAATAAACTTTGGATGCATTATGATTATATGATTGTTCAAAGTCGTTGTACTCTTGAACGTTGCTGTGCAATGTACACATTTTTTGAGTTCATCGATATTTTGGGAGTGTTTGTTCATGTGACTCCTGAGACTTGATTTAATCGTCGTTTTATATTTGCACTTTTCACATTCAAGTACCTTGTAATCAAGCACTTCAACGGCATTAGGATGGTTTTTCAATACATGATCGTTCATTTTTTGTTTTCCGCAAAACTTCTTACTACAATATACGCATACATTTAGAATATAACTACTAGGCGTCCCAGGATGAGACAATAGATGTTTTTCTAGCTTAGCGTTTATGGTAGTACTGAATGTGCATTTTTCACATTTGTATGTTTCACATTTGAGTGATGCTGCAAAGCTGGGATGCTTTCTCAGTATATGGTCGTTCAAAGATCTGTAACTTGCAAACGACTCATCGCAATGCGAACATTTGTGTGGCTTAGGTTTACCCACTCCAAGGTGTTGCAAAGAGTGATACTGAAAATTATCGCGTTTTACAGTTTTATAGTCGCATTTTGGGCATTGGTGTATTTTACTAGTGACTGAAGCAATAAATTCGGGATGTTTCCTTAACAAATGTTCGTCCAGCCTATTTTTTCTGTTGTAGCCTGCTTTACAATGCGTGCACTTGTATCTAATAAATTTCATAGATTTTTTCAGCGCATTGCTATTAACATTAGGTTTGAACGCGTGTACCAGCAAATGAGATGTCAGAAATTCTTTAAGATTGGTTTCGAAATTACAACTGTGACAACTGTACGCATTTCTGCCTGATATGTCGGACTTGATCTGACACCTTTCTCCTTGAATTTTCTTTATACCAGCACTGAAAAAAAGTAGGCAGTTATCAGTGTCTTGAAAGCAACAGTGATTCCGCATTGGTGATAGTAGTGATGATTTAGAGATCTCGTACTCTGGGACGTCATGACGTCATTGACAGTATGAATTAGAATAGAACTTGATTTTAAACCAGTAAACCTTTACGAATCGAGCTGAAAATTTGTAAATACGTTTGGTTTGCGTGACAATACAAAATGAATAAACGGCCGCCATTTCGAATGCAACATGCTGGATGCTACAAATGGCTATTTATCATTTCCACAGTAATCCCTATCTAATGGGTATCAAATGACATGCCTTGATGAGAGAAACACAATAAGCGATGTGGCGTCACTTTAAATCCAATATGACGGTCACCGCAAAATAACGAATTACATTAAGCAGTAGCTCTCATACTTCTTGACTTTACTAAAGCATTTGACACCATTAATCACTCACTTCTTGTATCCAAATGCAGTTATTATGGATTTTCAGAAAAAAACTCTTTCGTTTATTCAAACCTACCTTGAAAATCGGTATCAAAAAGTTCGTCTAAATCAACAGTACTCTACGGAACAAAAAATTTGTTCTGGTGTACCACAGGGATCAGTCTTAGGACCGCTATTATTTTCATTATATATCTCAGATTTAGAAACAGAGGTAAAATCATGCAGCATACAATTTTTTGCAGATGATACTCAAATTTTCTATTCATTTAGGAGTAATGACTTGGAAACGGCAAATAATAAAATTAATCAAGATCTTGCCCAAATTGAAAAGTTCAGTAGTAGTCGTAATCTTCGTTTGAACCCTTTGAAGACAAATATGTTGGTATACGCAAATAGAACAAAAAAGAATACCTTAAAAAAGGACATAGACATACATTTAAAAGGTAATAAGTTAATTCCTGTGGATCATTCGAAAAACCTAATACCTATAATGGATGATGATCTAAATTTGTTGCACACGTGAACTATCTAATTACTCAGTGCTACGCTATTCTCAGAGTTTTATTTGCAAATAAGGCTATATTACATAAATCTGCGAGAATGGATGAAAATTGATAAAATGTATAAGTACCTACCAGCTCCTAAATCTGACTCATAAGGATCTTTATTCAAAAACACCGTCAAATTTAGTAAACAAAATCATACGTAGAGGGAATATGCATCGTATTAATATTAGATATAGAGAGACTTTTTCAATTCCACGCCACAGCACGTCTCTATTTCAAAATACATACATTTACAATGCGATGAAATCATATAATTCTTTAGACCCCAGTTTAAAAAAAACCAATCCATTATCCAAATTCAAGAAAAAAATTAAAGAAGTTCTTCTTGATCAGCAGCGAAATCGGTTGTAACCCGTAAGTGTCCTCATATTTTCCTTATGTATTTACTTGGATTATGCTTTATTCTGTCGTTATTGTATACAGGTGCCTATTAATTTTCAACAAATTCTTTTTTTTTACATCTCGTATTGTTAAGGGGGTTAGATGGTAGAATAGATATAAAGGGTTGTCCAATAGGGACGCAGGAAAGTAAACGTCAATTTGACATAGACGCCATCTTTGTTTTCTGTCACCGACATGTCATTTTGTTAGTTGAATGTTTACCATTGATCGCTATGGAGTCGTATTCGATTGAAATTGAAAGTTATTCAAGAGCACTACAAAAATGGTGCAAAAATAAAAAACACGTTTCGCGCGCTTCGTGAACATTTCGGTCGCAACAACCGCCCAAACGAAACAACCATCGGTCGTCTGGTGCGTAAATTCGAGGCAACAGGTTCTGTGGCAAATCTGCCAGGCTCTGACCGGCCAAGGAGCGTTCGCACACCGGAAAATATTGCTGTTGTGAAGGAGAGTGTGAGAGACGATCCGAAACAATCAACAACGCGTCGATCCCAAGAATTGGGCATTTCGAGAACCAGTTTGCTCCGCATTCTCCACAAGGATTTGAATGTACACGCCTACAACATCCAATTGACGCAAGAGCTGCGTCAGGCCGACCATTTTTCGCGCCGAACGTTCTCAGATTGGCTCCTTGAACACCGCCAAATTGATGCCAATTTATCATCAAAAATCATGTTCAGCGACGAAGCGCATTTCACTTTGAATGGGACGGTAAACAAGCAAATCTGCCGCATCTGGGCGAACGAAAATCCCCGTGAGTATCAAGAGCAGCCGATGCATCCTCAAAAAGTGACTGTGTGGTATGCATTGTGGTCAAAAGGCATCATCGGACCTTACTTTTTCGAAAATGCGGCCGGGGACGCCGTTACCGTCAATTCTGAGCGATATCTCGTGATGATAGAGGACTATTTTTTGCCGCAACTTGAAGGAAGTGAAAGAAGTTCTTCTTGAAATCGGTTGTAACCCATAAGTGTCCTCATATTTTCCTTATGTATTTACTTGGATTATGCTTTAGTCTGTCGTTATTGTATACAGGTGCCTATTAATTTTCAACAAATTCTTTTTTTTTACATCTCGTATTGTTAAGGGGGTTAGATGGTAGAATAGATATATAATCTAAATCTCGCCTCCTGTAAGAATATTACAAATAAAAGACGTTAATTATTACTATTATTATTGACATGATACGGGTATCAAATGGAAGGTCTTGATGAGAGAAACACAATAAGCAATGTAGCGTCATTTTAAATCCAATATGACGGCCACCGCATAATAGCGAATTACATTATTCACAGTCACCCCTATGATACGGGTATCAAATGGTCTTGATGAGAGAAACACAATAAGCAATGTGGCGTCATTTTAAATCCAATATGACGGGCACCGCAAAATAGCTTGTTACATTATTCACAGTCACCCCTATAATACGGGTATCAAGTGGAAAGTCTTGATGAGAGAAACGCAATAAGCAATGTGGCGTCATTTTAAATCCAATATGACGGTCGCCGCAAAATTGCGATTTACATTTTCCAGTCACCCCTATATATGGGTATCAAATGAAAGGGCTTGATGAGAGAAACGCAATAAACACTGTTGTAACATAATGTTGAAGGCTGCCTGGATTATTTACTTTTGGCACAGGTTAATAGCTGTTGGTTTCAACAAGACGGTATTCATGCACCTAACTCAAGGCGTGTTCGAGATTATCTTTCTCAGCGATTTCCCGAAAGGTGAATTGGAGCCACCAGTGACATGTCCTGGCCAGCGCGTTCCCCGGACTTAACTCCTCTGTACTTTTTTTGCTTAAGGTTTTATTAGAAAACAAGTTCATCGGCATACTTTTGAAACTGAGCAGAAGTTACGAGAGTGTTTAGTGGCAGCAGTTTACACCAGAAATGTTACATGATGTTTTAAATTCTACTCTTATAAGATCATATTTATGTTTAGAAAATAATGGCAACCTGCTTGAACGCGCCAAAAAAAAAAACGCTACTTTTTCGTAATTCAAACTAATCTATATCTCCTACAGGTACCGAGATCCCCACGAATAGGATCCTTATCTTGGACACACTGTTAAGCATTTTAGTCCTACCTTATTTCGCAGTTAGAAGATGTGAACCCGACAAGTCAAAGAAATTGTGAATAATCTAGCACCCGACGGAGTATACCTGAGAGGCAACCAGAACATTGTCAAAGTGACGCTAATCGGCACAACTTTAGTACTACAATCTTAGTACTACCAATCTACCATTTCCTACTATCACTACTTCACACAAAAACATTCTAAGCAAAGAACCACGCAGTTTTCTAACGGACAATGATTTAGGTTAAATCAGTTGAAATTTTGCATAGATGCAATTTCCAACATGGCGATCAAAAGTCGTCGTGGCACCAACCTTCCTCGATCCCATACGGAACCCAAAAATCCTCCAAGTAGTCGTTATTGATAATAGATATGGGAAGACAAAATCACTTCTAAAGTAATATTATCAAAGAAGTTAAACGTATTATTGTTAGGATTACTTCCAGACCACCAATAATTTGACCCTGAATGTTATGGTCAAGGCCAAGTGGTACATCCTACTTTTCAAGAGGAATACTTTCACGAAGTCCTTGGAGCATTTCACAAACACAACATATGGACGTCAGAAAGCCCCCCCGCCCGCACGGGCATCATGTAAAGAACCTACAAAACGTTAAAAAAACCTATAAGATGTCAACTTGCAGACTGGGTAGTTTTTAGGGCGCAAGCAGTCATTCCACGTTTGCTCACTAGGATCGTTGTGAACGTCCATCTACGGAGGAATCACTCAACTAAGCTACAAGCATTGTTGGTTGCATAGTTTTGTGAGGCTGAGTGATCCGTGTCTGTAATTTTTATCTCTAAGAAAGTTGGTTGTAGAAAAACATACATAATGTAAAAAAACAGCATAATGTCAAAAAAAATCGGCATAATGTCACTTTTCAAGGACCTCCACAGAACCCAGATGCCCCCTAGTTAAGGCCACAGGCTGGTCGACACTTCTTTAAATAGGTCATACACAGTTAATATTCAAAATTAATACTAATTTTTTCAGACCTAAAAGACCGTAAAGCTTTAATTTAAGAATATATTTTCTGACGTCATATCATTTGTAAACAACAGCATAACCTCTCAAACTTTTAAACATATCAACATGACTTCTACTAGTTTGCATGGAAAACATAGTAATTATCGTTGTTGAATCGACCTAGAATATAAAAGAATATCATACGAGGTCTGCAAATTAAGTAATGAGACTGATTTTTTAATTTTTTTTGTATTCAAATATAATTACAAATTTAGATTGTCACCCTAAAAATAACTTGTCCCTTGAGGTGATTTTTCAACTTCGGAAAGAGAAAATATTTGCAAGGTGAACACGGAGGCTGAAGAGCCACAGGACTGTTTTTACTGGCCATCTCCCGTAAGAAAAGTGCGGGGTTCTTTACAAAAACATATCAAAATAACAGATTTATGGAAACTTCTCAAAATAATTTGATGCGTTTCTGTGTAAAAAAACAGGCGCACTCATAAAAAAGATAATTTTTGATGTTTCCTCCCACTGTCATGTTCTAGGCAAAATGAAGCAAAAGGTGTTAGTTGATACGGCAAATATGAACCGAAAAATTGTGTTTTCTTTGAAATTGGCCAGTTTAATCCGTTTGCTAAGCATTTGTGTGCAAAAAATCGCGCATCAAGCTGTTAGTATAATTATACCGATTGGGGTTCATGCTGGCATGCAAAACGTAGAAAATGGATATTGTGCAATACAGGGTGTCCGCAAAGTTGGGGTTTTCCTTTACACGACGTGTTGGTACAAGGTCACTGTCTCAACCCGACGACAGAACTGGGTCGGGGTCAGTGTTTCAGGTCAGTATGCAACCTTCAACCGACGGTTACGGTCACGCGTGTAGAGGTAATCGCGTAGACGAGAATCCCTCAACAAGCACTAGAGACGTGGCTAGAGAAGTGCAAGTATCAAAAACTAAAGTGTGGCAAACGCTGCGTGAAGAGGAGCTGTATCCGATTCACGTCCAACGTGTACAAGCCCTTCAACCTGACGATTTTCCAGCAAGAGTGCGGTTTTGTGAGTGGTTGTTGCATCAACATAACAATAATCCGGACTTTTTGAAGTGCATATTGGTGACAGACGAATCTACGTTCACGCGTAATGGGGTGAAAAACTTTCGCAACACTCATGTTTGGTCAGTAGAAAATCCGCACGCTGTCCGTCGGGCACATTTTCAACAAACATTTTCGGTGAATGTTTGGGCTGGCATGGTGAACGGTATGCTCATTGGACCATTTATTCTCCTAAATCGATTGGACGGGATGCAATACCTAGACTTTTTACGCAACATTTTGCCTTCCTTGTTAGAAGATGTGCCATTAAGTGTAAGACAATCAATGTGGTTTCTGCGTCTGCTCGGTAGGGCATCAGCTGATTTCATTTTCTGTTGGAGCGGTATGATTTCGGGCAGAGACGTACTTAGCCCTTCTCGTCAACTGGAGAGTGAGTACTTTTTCCTTTATTTTTTATTACTTGGTCGCCCTCGTTTCACTACACATTACCTTTGTTATTTCAAGGGTAGCTGTTTCTGAAAAGGAAAACCCCAACTTTGCGGACACCCTGTATATATAGGATGTAGGCGTGGCTAGAGCTTTTGCAATAAAAGAGAAGAGAACATCACTCTGCATAACTTACTATTTAAAACTGAAACCGATACCTTCATAGCATTTCAAAACCTCACACTATGTTTTCCTGAAGTAAATTATTTAACAGGTAAAGTTAAACATTCTAAGAGTAAAATAAAAAATAAAATGGATTTGATTTGATCGGTTTTGTTCAAAAGTGAATCAGTATGAGCTGATTGGGCAAAATTATTTAAGATTTAAGATTAAGAAAAAACATGCATAATTACGATGATAATAATTAATAAGCGCTTATAACTAATATTCAAACTTAAGCTTAGTTGTCAGGGCTAGGCTATTTTGTTAATCAACGAATGAATCATTATCACATACAGAGAAATCCATATACCACTGACGTCGTGATGTGTACGAGAGAGGAGCGGGAGATGTTTGCAACACGTGTATGTTAGAAAGAGATAGAACCACCACGTTGCCTAGCAACATGCACTCTATGACTGATTGCGCCACTGTGGAACCGGGAAAGTGCGTATCAATCAGAAGCCTCAGAGTACCTTTGCACAGGATTCTGTGTATTCTAGCTGTAGCAGGAAGGTCATTAATGGTCTGACAGAAGTTACCCAAGGGTTCTCTGTAAAGCCCCTTCTTGTAGTCTTCCCATTGGTATAGCCACCTTGCACAGTTTCAAAGCGCTCCTTGATTTAGCTGCGCGATTTCCCTTGCTAAGTACTTATCGGACCGCCCTGGTACATTAAACCAATGGATTTATTGTCACTGTAAAACCGGATCTAAGTTGACCAGTCTGTTCGAAAAAATCCCAACTAACAATTGAGGAGCGATCAGCCAAAACCAGATAAATCCACTTTTGGACAAAAATAATTTTATGATCGATTTCTATTTCTTTTGGTGGGATAAATCCGATGGCGCAATCAGTTTCAACGAAAACTCGTTAAATCCCATTCAAAATCGACCTCAAAGTCGAGCAATTCAAGCAAAACCAGATAAATCCAGAAAATTAAATGGCATAGGCTTGTTTCGAACAAAAAGGGATAAATCCGTTTGCGAAAGCATTTCTTTTATGGTATTCTTGATGTTTTGCACATTCCTACCAATCTATTTTCGGCTCTTTCCTACGCCAAGGTCGCGTAACTCGCGTACGAATATCGGGCGGTTATAGGAAAATAATATGATTCATTCAGTTTAGTTCTGCTATCGTAACCGTTTGGAACGTTGTGCGATACGGAAACCAGTGCACTTCCGCGAATATCCTCCTGGGACCCAGCGTCCATTTAAATGGACATGCAGTTTTATACTTCCAGTTTCGTTAATTTAATATTTACGCAGCGTAGACCTCGCATCCACTACGTTGGACACTTCCGTGCTGTCGCCTAGTCCGATTCGGCCGACTTTAGTCTCGCACCTGCGCCGTGAATCAGTAAGTTTGTTTTCTGTTGTGATGGCGGCTGCACGTGATTCTCGTTTAGATGGTATGTAACCTATTTTTTAACATTATGTGCTGATTTAGGAGGAAATATATATTCGTTAATGTTTAATAAATACATTTAAACAGCTTTATAATAATAAAAATTTTAAATAACTTTTGTACTAGCCTAAATTATTTGCGTCCATTTAAATGGACATTGGGTCTATCTCATGAATATTTTTGATTTATTCGGAAAATTTATTTTAGCAATTTTTGCCAATAAACGAGTGCTTCGGCCAGGGGAAGATGACGAAAAATTGGAGCAAATACTACAACTCATTGCAAACGATGATTCTGACGTTGAAATGTCTGATGATGAAAATGAAATTGAAAATATGGATAATTTAGTACAGAGAGAGGACGAAATAAATGATGAAGACCTGGTGAGCAGCAGTGACGAGGAAGGAGAGGACAGAATTCCTCTTAGTGTCCTTAGAGAAAAGTTAAGAACGGCCAAACAAACTCCCAATTCTTCGCAGCGACAGTTTTGGAGAAGGAATGATACTTTTACACCTCCAAATTTTGAAGGTCCGTCTAGTGAATGCAGCGCACAGCTTCGCGATGGTTGGACTGCAAAATCGTATTTTGCCATGTACTTAGAAGATGACATGTTCCAAAAAGTATGTGATTGCACAAATGCAAGGTATGTTGAACTTAAAGGAGTATCCCTTAGATTGACACTTAATGAGATTAAACATTTCTTTGGGATAATTTGTTTAATGTCCTGCCTAAAATATCCTAGAATCAGAATGTACTGGGCCAAACCCACGAGGGTTGCAGCTATTGCGGATGTTATGACTCGAGATAGGTTTTTTTCTCTAAGAAGTAACCTCAAAGTCGTAATTGATGGCAGCATCTCTGAGGAGAAACGCAGGTATGACAAATTTTGGAAAGTGCGTCCTATTTTAGAAGCAGTATTGCAGGGGTGCTTGCAGCTACCCAGAGAGAAAGTAGTTGCTGTGGATGAGCAGATGATACCATTCACTGGAACTTGTCAAATGAAGCAGTTTGTTAGGGGAAAACCCAATCCAGAGGGATTGAAAAATTTTGTTGTTGCTGCTCCTGATGGTCTTGTCGTAGACTTTGAACTATATCAAGGAAAAAATACGTTTCCAGATGATTCTGTAAAACGACTTGGTGTTGGACCTTCTGCTGTTGTTCGGCTTGGAAGAACATTATTTCCTGGAACTCATGTGTATTGCGATAGATATTTTACGACAATACCACTTCTTGAATATCTTCGCCAACAAAAGAAATATTGTACTGGAACGATTATGAAATCTCGTGTACCAGCGGCAGCACATTTAACTTCAGACAAAATGATGGCCAAGATAGGTAGAGGTAGCTCGGAACAAATTGTAAGGCAAGATGGCGAAATAGTGGTTGTACAGTGGTATGACCTGAAATCTGTACCTTTGGCATCTACTCGTCTAGGAATTCAACCTAGTGATGAGTGTAAACGGTGGTCTAAGAAAGACTCTAAATACATACAAGTTGCAAGACCTTACATTGTTGCTAAATACAACGATTGTATGGGAGGAATTGACCTGATAGACCGAATGATCAGCTATTACAGAATTCAAGCCAGATCAAAAAAATGGACTGTGAGAGTCATTTTCCATTTCTTTGATTTAGCATTGGCAAACTCATGGATTTTTTATCGAAGAGATAAAAAGATATTTCAAACCTCTACACGAAAAATACAGCAGTATCTAGATTTTAAAATCGAAATTGCCACGTACCTTTTGAAAAATGAATCCAACATTTTCCAAGAAAATATACGAGGTATAGGAACTCGAAGAAATCCTGAGGGTAATATCATTGTTGATTCACCATCAGCAGGCACCGAAAGAAAGCGGAAAGAACATTACCCAGAAATTGCCTCAGATTTAATAAATTCGGTTCGATGTAAAAATGACAGTTGTACTAAAAAAACGAAGTTTTTTTGTAATAGATGTAACACATTCTTATGCATAACTGGCTACAGAAACTGCTTTATAGAGTTCCATAACAGATAAATTTAAGTTTACGTTTATTTTCTATGTTCTTATAAGTTTAAGTTTTAATTTTAAATGTATTTTTAACCATCTAAATAACTTATACATTAGGCATTTTTGTATAGGTTAAGACCCAATGTCCATTTTAATGGACGTCATGTATCTTTCAAAATAAGAAAAAAAATAAAAAATGTCCTCAGTAAAGAATGTTTGTTAATGTATTTTCTGTTATATTTAAAAACGTCACAACTCTAACTTATGAAAAACATGTCTGGGTCTCAGGAGGATATACGCTGTATGAGTAGTTTTCTGACAAGTTTCTTCATTAATATTATTATTATAATATTCTTCAGTCCGTCGCTAGTCGAGTACCGATACTCCGAGTAGCTGAAACACGCGAGTGACCGGAACCTATATAACACTGTCCAGCTCCACCCTATATGCCTGTGCGCCTACAGTGATAGAGAATGGACGAGCACGACAGAGACATTGATATATCTGTTCGAGAAGGTAACTAAATTTCTATTAGATTGCTTATTTTATTTTTACAAGTACGCCTTTTTTTAGGAAGTTCTGGCAGCCGCGTTAAACAGCCCAAAACTCCCGAGAAACGAAGGTTAAACAAGCAACAAAAATATGTTGATAAGGATCCTGGACTATTAAAGTTTACGAGACCATGCAATCATAACACTACTAGTTATAAGTGCAGTACTGTTGCCTATGGATATGAGGTTATGTCACATGCTGGGTATTTGTGAAAAATTAAGGAAACGCTCCAACAAAGTAAATCCAAAAAAACGCCTCCTTAATATTACTTATTACCTCAAATCAAGAACTAAAAAGAAATCCGTAAGAGTATGTCAAGCTTTTTTTACTAAAAGTTTGGGAATATCAAAAAATCGAGTCAATACCGTTGCAAAAGTTATTCACGATGGAGGAGTGCCAAAGGAAACTCATGTTTCCAGAAAAACAGAAGATAAAAAAAATAAAATAAGAGAGTTTATTGGAAATTTAAGGGGTACCGAAAGCCATTACAACAGAAAAAAGTCTGTCCGAATGTACTTGCAAGCTAATTTGAGTATTGCTAAATTGCATAAGATTTTTAACTCACAGCAACCTGCACAATATAAATCGAGTTTATCCATGTTTTTTAGAATTTTTTGTGGAGAATTTAATATAGGTTTTTCATCACCTGCAGCAGACTGTTGTGCTCTATGCATACGTCTTAAAGACAATATAAGAAATGAAAAAGATCCCAAAAAAAAATCTGACCTGATGATCGAACGTCAAATACATAGAAAGAGGGCAGACGCTTTCTACAAACTTGCAAAAGAAGATTCTCCAAATTCAATAACTTTTTGCTTTGATATGCAGCAGGTGCAACCATTGCCTCGCACCCCCATTTACTTTCACCAAGTGAGTCTCTACATATTTTGTTGCGTCGACATGAACTCAAGGCACCCTACATTTTACACCTGGACTGAGATACAAGCTGGTCGTGGGTCAGTTCAGATAGGTTCAGCTCTATTAAATTATTTGGATTCACTGGAACTCGAAGACATTGAAGTATTAAGACTATTTTGTGACGGTTGTGGGGGCCAGAACAAAAACTCGCATATTGTACATGCCCTTTATTTTTGGCTCAAAAATAGGCCCCCCGGCACTTTAAAAGAAATCCAGTTGACTTTCCCAGTTCGAGGACATAGCTTCCTTCCAGCAGATAGGGTTTTTGGCCGTGTGGAAAAATCTTTAAGAAAAAACCCAACAATATTAAGCAAGGACGAATACTTTGAAAAATATTCTGAGTTTGGAACTGTGAAAGAACTTGGCATTGAGTGGAATCTTTACGACATTAAAAATCTGCAAGATTGTCTTAAGAAAATTGTAGGTATTTCCGACTACAAGCGAATCCTTATCAAGAAAATAGGACAAGATATCGTGAAAGTACAATGTCATCAGAATTTTAGAATGGAAATTTTAAATGAAGCACCCCAACAAATTCTTAAAAAACGAAAAGAAGTTCCAATAGTATTAGAAGAAATTCCTTTAACGCGATCTCTTCCCGAGAAAAAGAAAAAATCCCTAGCTCATCTGATGGCTCAACAGTTTGGTACAACCTGGGAGAATAATGAAAATCTAGCGCGGTACAAAAATATATTGCGTGAAGCTCAACTTGAAGCAGGTGCCGTCGAAGCTCAAGAACAAAATGAGAACGAACTTTGCGATTGCCTCGAGGATGACCAAGGAATACATATTTAAATCGTTCATTATTTTTTTAACTTTTTTGATTTATAATAAACGTTTGAAAATATATCTTTGCTTTATTTCAAAAGTACAACAAAGTTTTAAAAAGATATTATACTTAGATAATAATAAAAAAATAAAAAATAAATAAAAAGGAATAAAATAAAAAAAATAAAAAAAAATAAATAAATAAAATTTAAAAATGCCTTATTAACGTAAAAGATTTGCTATTAAACATATTTATATTAAAATAAACACTTTTTACATTATAAAGTTAGTTAACTCAAGCAAAAACAGATAAATCCATTTTGTAATTTGCAATAATTACTATGTTAATCATAAAAAAACAAAAGCAGTATTTAAGAGGTCTATATCACCATATATTTCAGATACACCATTTATTTTCTTGGTTAAATTTACGGACGCCCTAATGGACGGTTTTTTGCCATTATCTCGAAACTTTATGAAATGGATTTATCTGGTTTTGGCTGATCGCTCCTCAATTATCACTCCTATTAGAGTTGCAAGAATGATTATACAGTATTCCTTACACAGCATTGTATACTGTAAGACATTGGCAAAACCCTCTTAGAACAGCTATACAAGCGGAGTGGGCACACCTAATAGGACACTTCAGTCATTTAAGAGGTTGTATAAGGGCTGTAGGTAACAGTTATACAACAAAAGTACAAGCCTCTTGCAGCCGCTATAGAACATCTGGGTCAGTGCAAGATTCAGTCTTTGTCAACTATACAACTATTCTGTTACACGGTTCTACTTCATTGCTACCAAACTATTTCTTATGTATTGTATAGACGAAGTCAAGAATATATAACAAACATATTACAGTCATCTTGTTTACTTACATATCGGCCATTGTGAATTTCATACACAGGTATATGATAAACTTCTACACTGTGATGTAGGGCTATTGAATTACTTGCGCAGCAAATTTTATTGTGATTATCGTGCAAAGTAGTTACACAATTTCTACGGGCTTCGTGTTTGACTCATATTTCAATAATGATCAAAAGTATGTGTAGATTTCTAAGATGGAAAACTGAACTTATCTGCGTTAAATCTTACACAAATCCTATATTTAGACAAAATTACACTAATGTTTATCACTTTATATTTGTAATTTCGAACTGAAACATCATTATTTAATGCTAAATAGAGGAACAAATGTTTGCCCAATATGGCGGGTGGTTGTGTATAATCATGGCATCGTCCATGTTGTCTTTGGTTTATTAGAATATTTTGGTGTTGCCTGCAGGTGTTATACAATAATTTGACAAATGTCTGAAATGAAATACCGACAGTCGAATGATTTACCCAGAATTTGTACCAGATCTATATCTTCTGTTTGAACAGTTGATAAAACCTTTTGAATCAATATGCACGCGTTGTTTGTCTTAAAACATTGGTTATGGCGTTTTAACAAAAATTTGACAGCAGAAAGTTAGGTTATGGTGAAGTTGTATACCAACAAATGTATGCCGAGCACAGCAATTTTGTACTACAAAAGTTGTAATGTTGTTGCATATGTACAGCCTTTAACAGTTACTAAACAACAGTTGTATAAGTGCTTCCGTTGGGAGCAATTTGTTGGCTAAAGTAGTAAATTTGCACAGTAAAACAACAAGGCTCGGGTTTGTTTTATGAACGTTACCATGGATGCCACAACACAACAATTTTGACTAACGTGCAAATATGCCGTATAAAATAGTTGTATAAACGTTTATGCAACAGTTAAAAGTTTGTCCTATAAGTTGTTGTATAACTATACTATAAGAATATTTTAAACACCTCATTTTAGAGCAAATATGTTGCAGAAAGCAAATTTGCATTCCGCACAACATTTGGCCAGCATTTTGGTGTTCAGGCAACAACAACAGAGAGCTTTTATGGCTGAACGGTTCTTTTACCAAAAGCTTATAGCACTACTTTGCTAGTTGGGATACGTTGGCAGCTGGAGTACAACATAAAATTCACTTTACATTTTCTTTGGAATGTGTAAGTAAATGTTTAGTAAAATTATCCTTCCGGGTGGTTTTGTAGTCACATATTGTACATTCACGAATTAAGCTAGTCACGGTTGAAGCACTATGAGGATGACTCTTTATTATGTGGTCATCTAAAGAAGGTTTCGCCGTGAACACCGCTTTGCAATGTAAGCACGTTTTAAATTTACTTATCGGAACAATCTCAGGATGTTTAGAGATAATGTGCGCGCGTATCGCACTTGATAAGCTAGTTTTATATTCACATTTTTCGCATTTATGTATTTTACCAGTAATCGTGTCAATAAACTTTGGATGCATTCTGATTATATGATTGTTCAAAGTCGTTGTATTCTTGAACGTTGCTGTGCAATGTACACATTTTTTGACTTCATCGATATTTTGGGAGTGTTTGTTCATGTGACTCCTGAGACTTGATTTAATCGTCGTTTTATATTTGCACTTTTCACATTCAAGTACCTTGTAATCAAGCACTTCAACGGCATTAGGATGGTTTTTCAATACATGGTCGTTCATTTTTTGTTTTCCGTAAAACTTCTTACTACAATATACGCATACGTTTAGAATATAACTACTAGGCGTCCCAGGATGAGACAATAGATGTTTTTCTAGCTTAGCGTTTATGGTAGTACTGAATGTGCATTTTTCACATTTGTATATTTCACATTTGATTGATGCTGCAAAGCTCGGATGCTTTCTCAGTATATGGTCGTTCAAAGATGTGTAACTTGCAAATGACTCATCGCAATGCGAACATTTGTGTGGCTTAGGTTTACCCACTCCAAGGTGTTGCAAAGAGTGATACTGAAAAGTATTGCGTTTAACAGTTTTATAGTCGCATTTTGGGCATTGGTGTATTTTACTAGTGACTGATGCAATAAATTCGGGATGTTTCCTTAACAAATGTTCGTCCAGCACATTTTTTCTGTCGTAGCCTGCTTTACAATGCGTGCACTTGTATCTAATAAATTTCATAGATTTTTTCAGCGCATTGCTATTAACATTAGGTTTGAACGCGTGTACCAGCAAATGAGATGTCAGCAATTCTTTAAGATTGGTTTCGAAATTACAACTGTGACAACTGTACGCATTTCTGCCTGATATGTCGGACTTGATCTGACACGTTTCTCCTTGAATTTTCTTTATACCAGCACTGAAAAAAAGTAGGCAGTTATCAGTGTCTTGAAAGCAACAGTGATTCCGCATTGGTGATAGTAGTGATGATTTAGAGATCTCGTACTCTGGGACGGCATGACGTCATTGACAGTATGAATTAAAATACAATAGAACTTGATTTTAAACCAGTAAACCTTTACGAATCGAGCTGAAAATTTGTAAATAGGTTTGGTTTGCGTGACAATACAAAATGAATAAACGGCCGCCATTTCGAATGCAACAAAATGGCTATTTATCATTTCCACAGTAATCCCTATCTAATGGGTATCAAATGACATGCCTTGATGAGAGAAACACAATAAGCGATGTGGCGTCACTTTAAATCCAATATGACGGTCACCGCAAAATAACGAATTACATTAAGCAGTAGCTCTCATACTTCTTGACTTTACTGAAGCATTTTACACCATTAATCACTCACTTCTTGTATTTAAATGCAGTTATTATGGATTTTCTGGAAAAACCTCTTTCGTTTATTCAAACCTACCTTGAAAATCGGTATCAAAAAGTTCGTCTAAATCAACAGTACTCTACGGAACAAAAAATTTGTTCTAGTGTACCACAGGGATCAGTCTTAGGACCGCTATTATTTTCATTATATATCTCAGATTTAGAAACAGAGGTAAAATCATGCAGCCTACAATTTTTTGCAGATGATACTCAAATTTTCTATTCATTTAGGAGTAATGACTTGGAAACGGCAAATAATAAAGTTTATCAAGATCTTGCCCAAATTGAAAAGTTCAGTAGTAGTCGTAATCTTCGTTTGAACCCTTTGAAGACAAATATGTTGGTATACGCAAATAGAACAAAAAAGAATACCTTAAAAAAGGACATAGACATACATTTAAAAGGTAATAAGTTAATTCCTGTGGATCATTCGAAAAACCTAGGTATTATAATGGATGATGACTTAAAATTTGTTGCACACGTGAACTATCTAATTACTCAGTGCTACGCTATTCTCAGAGTTTTATTTGCAAATAAGGCTATATTACATAAATCTACGAGAATGGATGAAAATTGATAAAATGTATAAGTACCAGCTCCTAAATCTGACTCATAAGGTTCTTTATTCAAAAACACCGTCAAGTTTAGTAAACAAAATCATACGTAGAGGGAATATGCATCGTATTAATATTAGATATAGAGAGACTTTTTCAATTCCACGCCACAGCACGTCTCTATTTCAAAATACATACATTTACAATGCGATGAAATCATATAATTCTTTAGACCCCAGTTTAAAAAAAACCAATCCATTATCCAAATTCAAGAAAAAAATTAAAGAAGTTCTTCTTGATCAGCAGCGAAATCGGTTGTAACCCGTAAGTGTCCTCATATTTTCCTTATGTATTTACTTGGATTATGCTTTATTCTGTCGTTATTGTATACAGGTGCCTATTAATTTTCAACAAATTCTTTTTTTTTACTTCTCGTATTGTTAAGGGGGTTAGATGGTAGAATAGATATAAAGGGTTGTCCAATAGGGACGCAGGAAAGTAAACGTCAATTTGACATAGACGCCATCTTTGTTTTCTGTCACCGACATGTCATTTTGTTAGTTGAATGTTTACCATTGATCGCTATGGAGTCGTATTCGATTGAAATTGAAAGTTATTCAAGAGCACTACAAAAATGGTGCAAAAATAAAAAACATGTTTCGCGCGCTTCGTGAACATTTCGGTCGCAACAACCGCCCAAACGAAACAACCATCGGTCGTCTGGTGCGTAAATTCGAGGCAACAGGTTCTGTGGCAAATCTGCCAGGCTCTGACCGGCCAAGGAGCGTTCGCACACCGGAAAATATTGCTG